TTCTTATATTAAAATCTTCATGTTCTTGAATTGAGAAAACGAATTGAATTTTTAGGAAGAAGAAGCGAAGAAATTGGTGGCGGACGCCATTCGTGCAGGTGTCTTCAACGATCTTGCGTCAGGATCCAACGTAGATCTCTGCATCATTCGCAAGAACAATGTCGAGTATTTGCGGCCATATGATACTGCCAGCGTAAAGGGCGTGCGACAGATCAGCTATCGTTACAAGCCCGGTACTACATCGGTGCTCACAAAGACTATACAGCCGATCATTGTGGAGGAGGAGACGGTGCGCACAATCGAATCTGAAGTGATGGACACGTCTGCATAAAACTCTATTAACTAATCTAGCGTTCTATATGTGTTAATAAATACATTTTTCCAAACAATGAGACTTAACAGTTGAAAATCAGTTCGATCTTGTGATAAAAACATTGTGTAAGGATAAATGTATGATTTCTAAATTCTGGTTCCGTAAAGAGGAGGGACAATATTTGAATTGGAATCGAAGTTAACAGAAGAACATCATTAGAAGAGTCCAGCAGTTTGTTTGAGACGTTGTCTCTTCCATGTCGGTAGTTTTTCGAATTCCGCGGGTTCCATTTTGAAGATTGCAATGAAATTGTCATAAGTCAGGTGCATTTCTTTGCGTCTAACGTCCACACTGGCCGGCAAATTATCCGGTTCGCTTTTCAGCATTGTGGGCGAGTACTTGATGTAATTGTCGAAGTCTGTGGTGACCTTCGAGGTCATCTGCATCCTTGCCGATTGATCTGTATCCTCCAGCAGAGTACAGAAGATTTCGAACGGTTTGTAATCCCTTAGCAGATTATGATTCCAATTGTCAAACAGTCCGATAAATGTAGCTGGCTCCAAACCTAAGAAACGATGAAAATAAAAATATAGACAAAATGTAAAAAAAAATACATAAAGATTAAAAAATTTTTGCGATAGAAAGGACTGAAAAATAAATCTATAAAAGATATTAGCTAAATTAAGCTACTACTAAAAAAAAGTTCCCTCTCTCATTTTTTAATAAACTTTTAATATGTTGTCTAGGCCCTTCGTATAAATTCAATTATTCTTTTTTCGAAGCGAATATTGAAACTATAAGACAAAAACAATTTTTTGGATAAATTCAGTTATTTTTTTTTCGAAGCGAATATCGAAACAATTTTTTTAAATAAAAATTGAATGATTCTAAGAGTACTTTATAATAAGAATTTTAAAAATTGTTTTTATTTTTTATTAACATTTTTTTTTACCGTTATTAAAATAATTTGAAATAGTTTCATTTAATAAATCAATTTTATTTGAAACGTTTTTTTTTTTCATCTTTTATAGTTTCGACGAATTCGCTTCAAAAGAAATTTGAGTATTTTACCTTCTAAAAATATAGGCACGTAAATAAATATATCTTATTTTGATTTAGACTACAATTTATTAAAAATTCAAAATTGGAGGTAAATACTTTCCTGTATTTCCTTGTTAAATTTTTATCACTTACAAATTGTTGGCTCGACAAATACGTCATCGATCGTGAAGGGATCTTTTCGAACTGATTGTGTGTTGTCTGGAACTCACCTTGTTTGATCACGGAAATGGTCGTGTTGCGATTTCGACTTGCGGGATGAGTGTAGAGATACACAGTCGCATCCTCGACGCACTCTTT